CGGTGGTATTTGTCAGATCTGTTGCTGTGGTTTGAGATCTTGCTGTTGTGATGGATCTAGATTGTAGTCTAGGGATCCATCCTTGGATTCCTGATTACGTTTTCTTAGGTTATATGTAGATTGGTTCTCCATTTGATGATTGTTGCAAGGTAGATCTATGTGAAATGGCTATTTTATGGTAGGCAGAACGTAACGTTATGGGGTTTTTTGGTCCCTTGGATTATACGAAAACTAATATGAACATCAAATTTCATGACAGCAAGAGAAGTTATCTATATTTCGATAGTAGCTCCTTGTTAATGGCTGCGGATTCCCTCAAAGAAGTTCATGTCACAAATACAAGTATCTCTTGGTGTATCATGCACCTGAAATGCATATTCTAACTGTAAATTGTCGTTACTGATTGCATGTGCTGATTCCATCCATTTGGTTGAAATGGTTCTTTAAATATGATCTGTTGAAGGACCATATAAGAAGTATTAAAATAATTTGACAGTTACATGATGTTACGGATAAACACACCATTTAATCATGGAACTGTTACTTGTTGCCTTTTTTGGCTCCACCCCTGTGGTTTGATTTGAAGAGTTGGTCTTTTAGGAATGATATGTTGATTGTGGATGATCACAAAAACCATATAAGAAATATCAAGTAATTTGGACAGTTACATGATGTTAAATTGAGACACGTTTATCATAGAATTGTTACTGGGAACTGGGTGCTTGTTGGTAAACGAAATCGTTGTAAACATGATATGTTTATTGTCGATTGTCAGAAGCCATATAAGAAGTATTAATTGATATAATGGTTAAATGACACTAAACATAGAACTGTTACTGATTGTATATGCTGATTCCATCCCCTTGGTTGGTAATTAAAATGGAAACATGATATGTTGAAGATAGATGGTCAGAGACCATGAAAGAATTACATGATAACAGTTACATGATGTTATACGTGGACGGACATAGACCATATAAGAATTCTGAAATTTCTTGATAGTGATGTTGAACATAGAAAATTTATTTAGTTATGCTATAGATAATTCGAGATTGGTCCTTTTTACAACATAAATATTGGAAGTTGCCAATGGTTACTTGTATCTGATGTCTGATATAGTTGCTTATGGTTGTATATTTGTATGACATGGAATCAACATCATATGATACTTCCTCATTTTTGTTTCCTGTTTCTATGAGCTTACTGTTGTTAGGTGTTGTTTCAACTTGGTTTTTCAGTCATACGCCTTGCTTTTATGTTGTTTAAGGGATCATTTTGTTCTCTGGCATTCTCTATTTAGCTTAACAATCAATAATGATTGATGCATAAAGCTATATTTTGTTGATGTTCACAAATAATGGTGCTTCTCAAATTTCTTTGGTCTGACACTGAGAAATATCTAATTAGTTTTTTCATATATATTTTTTTTAAATTAAGTGTTTTCTAGTTGAAAAATCAATTAACTTAAACACGACATTCTCACAAAATAAAGAAAGTGCTACTAAAATCATGGGAGGGTATTCATTGATTTCTTATTGATGGGCATGAAGAAAATAATCAAACAAGTGAAGTAAGCAGTTTTTGTTGGGTACCCATGTGTGCTGCACATATTCAGTTTCATCATTTGCTCTGTACAGGATGATACAACTCTTGGTGTTTCAACGATGATGTGTTTTGTCGCGTTAATTGCAGATCGATTTTTACAGACTAGATAAATTATATTTATTGGGCTTCGATCATCCGGAAGCACAAATGTGGCTTTTTTTGCTTTTCGGTTATCTTTTGACGAGGAACTAATATCATTACATGTTTTATGCAGTGACTATTTATTCAAACTTTTGCTTATTGGAGATTCGGGTGTTGGAAAATCATGCCTCCTCCTAAGATTTGCGGTAAGGGTCAATAAATGTTGATAGAGATTAGGTTGGCAACCAGTGCCTTGTTGGTCAAGAATGCAGTTACAAGAATGATTTCCATATAGATGCTATTGAAACAGCATATTTAATGACCAATCTTAATGCTCCTCTGGAACCAATGTGACCTAAGATCCTAACCCCCTTTTAGTTCTTTTACCTTTTATCAATAATCAGGAACCAAGGAATCACTAGTTGTATGTGGGATTATGGTTTTGTAGGAGAGAATCATTGAGCTTGAATATTATATGCATCTGATTCATGTTAGATTGGATAGAAACATTGTAGATTTATCCTCCCATTTCTTACAAATTTCTTGATAATATGCGACGACACTGCCATTTCCCAATTATCTTTTCATTGTTACCTCAATGACTGTTGGCTGTTTATTTAATTTTGCAAGTAGCTGCTAAACAATAGTTAACTTTTGGTTGCTTTTGCATCAAACACAGCATATACATCTTAATGCTTGCTCGAAACTCAGCCATGTAATGTGGAAGTAGGTGGTTATGTTGAAGAGCTATGTACACAAATCCACCAAATCCTGATTGTAAAAGGTTCTTTCATTATTGCAGGTTTCATTAGTGTAACACCTTTTTTCCTTGTAGGATGATTCGTACTTGGAAAGTTACATCAGCACTATTGGAGTTGATTTTGTAAGGGAGAGCTAATTCTTTTGAACCGAATCAATAAATGCTTTAACTGGAGCATCTGAATAATGCCATATATTTTTCCTTGTAGAAAATACGCACAGTTGAACATGATGGCAAGACCATTAAGCTTCAAATAGTGAGTTCCTTTACCATGTTGCTTTTTTTGTACATAGCTGTTATTATGAGATTGTGTATCCAATATGCTATGCCACTTGAAACCAAACATATCATGTGTGACTCACGTCTTTGCTCCACCAACCTGAAGTCTGTCATTAATGGCAAGTTGTTTTAGTTGATGTAATTTGTGGAGGTCTGCAATACCAATTCCCAGTTGTTATGTCGTGACAACTTCTAGCAGTGGACTTTCACTTTGATTTGGGTTCTGATGACCATCAACACAGTTCTATATCAATTCCGTAATTATTGATTATTTATTGTGGAGTAGTAACTTCCTTTTCTTCTGATATGAGATATTTGTTGTCACTGCAGTGGGATACCATAATTATTGATTATTTATTGTGGAGTAGTAACTTCCTTTTCTTCTGATATGAGATATTTTGTTGTCATTGCAGTGGGATACCGCAGGGCAAGAACGTTTTAGAACAATTACAAGCAGCTATTACCGTGGTGCTCATGGTATCATCGTAAGTCCAATCATCAAATCTATTTTTTGTTTGTTGCATGTCAAACTATTATGTCAACTAGTCGTTCATTCCCTCGACTTGCAGGTGGTCTATGATGTGACAGATCAGGAGAGCTTCAATAATGTAAAGCAGTGGTTGAATGAGATTGATCGATATGCGAGTGACAACGTGAATAAGCTTCTAGTTGGGAACAAGTGTGATCTGACTGCCAATAGAGTTGTATCATTTGAGACAGCTAAGGTAACTGAGGTTATGGCTAGTTTACTGTCATTTTTCTAATAGTCACGCCACATGTGAGGTTATGGCTTTGTTTGATCAGGAATATGAACTTACAGATTCCATCTCTGACTAATTTCTACGTACTTTGCAGGCCTTTGCTGATGAGATTGGCATACCATTCTTGGAAACCAGTGCAAAAAATGCTACTAACGTGCAGCAGGCATTCATGGCCATGACTGCTGCCATCAAGAACAGGTATGTCGACTCTCTCTTTTATTCAGGCATTGCCTTTTGTTTTCTTTTTGCATATATACGGACACAGAATTGTCTCTCATGCAGGATGGCCAGCCAGCCGGCCATGAACAGTGCCAGACCTTCCACAGTGCAAATCCGTGGACAACCTGTTGACCAAAAGAGCTCCTGCTGTTCTTCTTGAGTGTTCAGCTAATGGCATTGTATTAAACTAGTTGATATCCAGATTGATGCTGTGTTGTGTCATTTCAAACGCTTCAATACGTGTTCCATTCTTTCCTAGTTCTAATCCTGTACAAATTGGACATTTGGTAATGCTATGTGATATATGCCAGCCCTACAATATATATATATATATATATATATATATATATATATATATATATATATATATATATATATATATATATATATATATGGTAATGCTATACTAAAAGCTTATAAAATGCAAGCTGATGGTGACATCTGGTCATTCAAATCTTTAATAAGCTTTCAGTATTGTGTCATAAACCAAAAATTGGGACATGGATATGGATGAAAGGAAAGTTGGTAATATACCTAGCACTCACTAGGAAATTTTTGAAAGACTCGGGACATTCTAGTTACAAAAAAGAAAAACACGAGGTTCCTTCTAGGCATATGGACGTTGATGTTGCAGTGACCCCAGGATTTTGTACAGGATTAGCGACTTGTTCATTTATTAATATGTCAAGTGTTTTCTCGGACATCTGTATTAGCAACTTGTTCTTATTAAAGTCACATTCACATACTACCATCATTTATCAAAATATTAAGAATATTATTTTAAAAAGGAATAATATAAATATAAAAAAAACCCAATCCAACTAAACCAGATAATTGCAACTTTCAACAACACAGCCGCATTTTCAAATTGTCACTTAAATCAGACTGTTACATCATACTAAACCAGATATAACAAAACTTGAGTTAGACAATGAGTTAATCCCAATTTTTAATAACACAAAACTGCTTTGTTAAATTGTTACTTAAATCAGAACCGTTTATAATAACACAAAACTTTATATTGTTCTCCTCGTAACAATATAAAGGTGTTGTAACAATATAAACGGTATGTATCGGTCCGTGCATTAACCATTAGGTAGACTATCCCATTTCGCGTGATCTGCTTTGACCTACTAAAAAAATTTAATTAAAAATCATAAACTCTCTTCGCCTAAATATGAGTCCTTTGTGTGTTGTTTTTTGCCTCGTGCTACCGCTTGTCACCACCCACTGCATACCAAACGTGAGCCCTCTTCACTCGAATGTGAGCCCTTCTCTTCACTCAAATAACCTCATTCTACAGCCAACTGCCCATTGCTTGTCGTGCGCTGTCAACAAGTATGCTTCCTTCTCCCTCTTCCTCCATCACATTCGTGTCCTCCACACTGCTTCATCTTCTTCTTCCTCTTTAAGTCACCTGCACTTCAAAAATCATTTTTCTGAGGTTATTTGAGCAAAAAATATATTAAACTAAAATATAATATATAAATCTAAAAAAAAGAGATATATTTTAAAAATTAATATTTTTATTTTATTAAAATAATATTCGTATCACATAAATATATGGTAAATAGTTTTTTGATGTATACGATATATTCGACCATAATACTTCCCTAGCACACCATGTAGATGAAGTGTGGGATTATGCAAAGATAAATTAAAAAATATTTTAAATGAGGATTTCAAATCTCATGACAGAACAAAGGAAGCATCCTTATTTCCTTCGAAGATTATTGCGGATAATCCTTATCCCATCTATTTCGTCCGATACATATATCCCAATGTATCATTCATAATCAATGTTGATTGAATTCTATATACTATGTCCAATATCATGGTCAACTAAACGTTTTTGATTCTTTTATTTATTCCTTCTGATCTAACTTTTATATGCCTTTCTATGCTTCTTCGCACCCACTAATTCCAATTGACTGACCTCATCCAACCCATGCATCTATAAATATCCTTTGATGAGTCCAAACCAACATAAGCAATAATCCCTAAGAAGCAACACATTAATGGCAGAAAAAAATGCACAAAGCAGTCCGAAAATTAGAATATCCTCCCTGGGATGCATAATTACTAAATAATTAAATTCATTAGAACATTTCGATTGTCTCACATTCTTGTAAACACAACCTTTATTTTAGTGTAGCCATAATCTAACAGTAAAAATCACTCAGAAATCCAAAAGATGCAATACTCCAAATTGTCTACCAGGAACAATGAAAATCCAATAGTTGACACTTTAAACAACTAACAAGAGGATATCAACCTAAATGCTGCATGCATATGACATGGGCATAAATAAAACAAGAAGCAGGACATAGAGGACTATAATGAAGCAGAGCAAGGCACAGATAAACAATAAAATGTGATGTCGATGTCAAGAGCATGAAATTACCTCACTAGTCTCCGATCCATCCAGTGCATCATTCCAACAGCATCTCCTGCAGCTCTAAACTCCTCCAGATTCGAACATCAGATAGTCTTAAAGTACATAAATCGTGAGATAGTTGGAAGCATACTTGAAATAGACATATTAAATAGACATATAAAACTTACTTGCTTTGGCTAGGAGTCTCCCAGTTACCACGGGGACAACCATTGCGCTCAGTCACATCTTACAGATCAGTGTAAATTTCAATCCAAAAGGAGCAACAAATCCATCTCGAATTCATAATCTTAGATTATTTACCTACGTCCATATCAACTGCGATGATTGAACCGTCTCCTGGAAGGCGAGTCACTCTGACCCACCTCTTCAACGCCATGCCATAACCAGCCCGAAGACTTCTTCCGGGTCGACGACGACGGTGATCATTGGGGGTCCATCACGACATCCACGTCCTCTTTCGGTCAGCCATCCCATCTCTTCATGCTGCTCCAAATCGATTTTCAAGCATAGCCGTATCAGCGAAACCAAAGTAAGCGCACCGCCTGTGGCCAGATCTATGGTCGCTGTCTTTGGCCTCTTGTGATGTTGTCGCGTCCTCGCCCGGTTAGAATATGTGGTCCTTTTATAATTGAATAAGATATATAATATAATAACTAATTGGGTTCCGTTCAGATATTTTAGCCAATAGACTAAGTCCACTACGGAACGATTCCTCGGAGATATCCTTGATGGGAGGAAATCTCCTGAGATCTCATCGTAGACCCTTTGCTCTCGCTTATAAAAGGACATGATCTCTAGGGGTTGAGTGTGTGTTAGAGCGTCATAACGTTGACACGTATAGACGCACCTCTCCGTTTAGGGATTCAGTTATTCTCCTCGACTCTCTCCCGAAAACCCTCTCCCCAAAATCCATCAATCTGTGTGGGTCCTGTGAAAGGATAGGAAGAGAGGAGAAAGGGTCTACTCTCCTTGCACTCCTTCAAATTGCGTGCGATTGGATTAAAGACGATCGGATTAAAGACGGTGCTAATGCATGATTTCAAAAACCGGGCTCTGATACCAATTGTAAGCATAAAGATCTGTAATTATGCTATGTCAATAATGCGGAAATAACCTATATGCCAGGATTGAAATCAATGCATAGATCTAATTATACGATGCGTACCTTTTGATGTCATATGTTCAGAGATCCCGTTGATCTGCTAAGCACCGTCTTTAATCCAAAATAGCTGCTAGCACCGTCTTTAATCCGATCGTCTTTAATCCAATCGCACGCAATCTGAAGGAGTGCAAAGAGAGTAGACCCTTTCTCCTCTCTTCCTATCCTTTCACAGGACCCACACAGATTGATGGATTTTGGGGAGAGAGTCGAGAAGAATAACTGAATCCCTCAACGGAGAGGTGCGTCTATACGTGTCAACGTTATGACGCTCTAACACACACTCAACCCCTAGAGATCCTGTCCTTTTATAGGCGAGAGCAGAGGGTCTACGATGAGATCTCAGGAGATTTCCTCCCATCAAGGATATCTCCGAGGAATCGTTCCGTAGTGGACTTAGTCTATTGGCTAAAATATCTGAACGGAACCCAATTAGTTATTCTATTATATATCTTATTCAATTATAAAAGGGCCACATATTCTAACATTCTCCCACTTGGCCCATTAATTGATAAGATATAAAAGAGATACAAAATCAAAACAAACAAAACAAAATTTGTTTAAAAATAATTTTACCTAATTGGATTTCAAGAAATTTTAAAAAGCATTTTATACATGGCTATGTTTTAAAATAAGCCAATAAGTCCAATAAACACAATAATACTATATTTAGTCCAACTATCAATGCGAGTCATAGCGGTTGTATTTCATCAATGTCATACTCCCTTCTATGTACCACAACATTATTAGTCTTTCCTAATATAGTCCATAATGACCCCTGTAATTTGTCTTGTCAAGACAATCCTGTTATTACATTCAACCATAATATGCATAAACATAAATGTAAACAGGATAGCAGAAACATATAACTTTAATTAAGTAAAATGTCAATAATAGCATCCACATAAACATGCATCATCATATCCTTTATGACTTGCTCACAAGCCCCATTCTAAGAACATGTTCTTTGAATATTTTACACTATAAGGCTTTTGTCAATGGATCAGCAATCATCATAGTGGTGCTCAAGTTCTCAATTGACACTTGCTGTTTCTGGACTCTTTCTCTAACCACCAAGTACTTTATCTCAATGTGCTTGGAACCACTAGAGTACTTGCCATTCTTAGAGAAGAAAACTGCTGCGGTGTTATCACAAAATATCTTCAGCGGCTTGGCAATTGAGTCGACCACACCAAGTCCTAAGATAAAATTTCGCAGCCATAAAGCTTGATTTGTGGCCTCAAAGCATGCCACAAATTCAGCTTCCATTGTTGATGATGCAATAAGCGATTGCTTTGCACTTTTCCAAGAAATTGCCCCACCAACTAACATAAATACAAATCCTGAAGTGGACTTCCTGCTGTCGAGGCAATTTGTAAAATCAGCATCTGAATATCCAGTTACTTCAAGCTGATCAGATCTCCTGTATGTGAGCATATAATCTTTTGTCCCTTGTAGATATCTCATTACTTTCTTTGCAGCTTTCCAATGTTCCATTCCTGGGTTGCTTTGATATCTT